CTCCACGACTCTGGGAGACAAACTCCTGCAATTCCTAAGCATGGTATACTTCTGTTCTGTTGGATTAAACACATGGACTAAGATACTAAATTTCAACTTGTAGCCCAAATGGAGCAACAAGAACCAAACTTACCTCTTAATGGAAATAGCAGACCACAGTTATGAGACACTGCACAGCGGACCACGGAAGAACGCAGCCCCAAGGGACTAGAGCCAGCTGACAGCCTCCTGCTGGGCCCTGCCACCCAGGGAGAGATGCTGGGTGTGAGGTGACCCTGAATCCACTGAGAAGGGGCTGACCATCCAAGGAGACGGCCCAAATCTGCAGGCTAGAGGAGAGCTGCCCAGAGACATGTCTGAAGTCTGCACAGGGCATCTGTCAAGTAGTGAGCTATATGAAACCTCCTCTTCTCTCCTCTCCTCTCCTCTCTCTTCTCCTCTCTCCCTTTCTTTCCTTCTTCCTTTTTCTTCCCTCCCTCCCTCTCTCCCTCCCTCCCTCCCTCCCTCCCTCCCTTCCTTCCTTCCTTCCTTCCTTCCTTCCTTTTTTTTTTTTGTCAGTCATGGGGCTTGAACTCTGGGCCTGGGCACTGTCCCTCAGCTCTACAGCTCAAGGCGAGCACTCTACCACTTGAGCCACAGCGCAACTTCCAGTTTTCTGGTGGTTAACTGGAGATAAGAGTCTCACAGACTTTCCTTTCCCAGGTTGGCTTTGAACTGCGGTCCTCAGATCTCAGCCTCCTGAGTAGTTAGGATTACAGGTATGAACCATTGGCAACCAGCTTTCTTCCTTCTCTCCCTCCCTCCCTCCTTTCCTTCCTTCCTTCTTTCCTTCCTTCCTTCCTTCCTTCCTTCCTTCCTTCCTTCCTTCCTTTTCTCTTCCTTTTTTAAAAGTTATTGGTGTCATATTTTTCTCCTCCAGTACTGGGGTTTGAACTCCTTGTACTTGGTCAGCGACTTGCTTAACACTCTAACCCTTGAGCCACACCTCCAGTCTGGCTTTTTGCTGGTTATTTGGACATTCATTCTCACATACTTTTTCTGTCTGGGCAGGCTTCAAACTTGAAACTTCTAGTCTCAGCCTACTGAGTGGGTGGTATTACAAGTCTACAAACTCACTGTGTTGCTAAGAGACATAAATTGCTTAAATGTGTAAGAACTTTCACAAAGGCCTACACAAAGAAACGCCACGTATTTATTTAACAAATATTTACCCAATACTACTACAGGCCCAGGCAGGCTGGGAGGAATGCTGAGCCATGACTGCTCTGTCAGGCTAGTCTGAGATTGAGTCCAGGCACTGAGATTTTTGAGTTTCCTGGGTCTGGACCGATGGTGACTCACATGGGTGGCGTTGTGTGTGGGGCTGTGCGGGGGGCTGGCAGGCGGAGCCCGGGGGCAGGGCTGGAGCGAGTCTCGGGACCTGGCATTCCTCCGTTGCCTAGGCCAGGCAAGGGAGCTGCTTGGCCTCTGGGCGAGGTGTTTCCCATGTTCGCAGGCCTTGTTTTTCTGACATGGGTCTGACACGCCTCTGTGGCCATGTGCCTTTGAATTTAATTATTTATCGGTGTGACCAGATGGTGGTTGTTGACTTGCACAAGTGCGGCGTGGCGGCGTTCTGCGTTGGCTCTGGTACTCAGAGTGGAACGGCTCGGGTCACAGCCATGGCTTCACTGAGTGGAGTGGGTGTGGAGTTTATACAGATGTTTTATACACCGTGGAGTGGCCTTGGTCAGCGGGCCCCGGCCCTGGTGGGATCCACAGAAAGGGAGGAAGGAACAGAATGGACAAAGCACAATGCCATGAAGTCTTTTGTCCACTGGGTGGAGCATTTTAGCCAGAGAAGCACCCGGAGGTCTCTCCTGGGCTTTGCTAGGGCCGGCAAGCTCGGGCTTGTCTGGAGTCTGCCGGCCAAAGCTGCCTCAAGGACTACGCAGCCCTGGTGTGTGCCGGCCTAGCCTGCCAAGGGGCCTCGGTGTCCATGTTCTAGAACATGCCAAGAGGACACCTGGTCTGTGTTCTAGAACTGGAAGGGCAGGGATCAGCTGTCCTCCCACAGCTCAGCCGTGTGGGTGCTGAGGGGTGGACATTGCTGGGCGGGTCACGCCAGTGGGCACGGCTGCCTGGATGGAGGCCGGTAGGCCTTCCTGTGTGGGTATGGCCTGGGGTGGGTGAGAGAAGGCGAGCTCTAACAGCTGACGTTGACCCAGGAGGAAAACCAAGACGACATAAGGAGAGGAGGGGAGCCTGTCAGCACCCCCCCTCCAGTGCTGTGGGAACCTCGTTCCCTGGAGGCTCTGCACCTTCTCCTACTGCTTGCTGGCCCAGGCTTTCCTGTGCCCTCCCCCCCAACCCCTTGTTAAAGCTTGCTGCCATGGGCTCTCCCTGGCCTTTCTCCTCCTTGTTCAGGGCAAACACTTGGCCTGACACCTGTTGCACACACACACCTGTGCACACGCTCACATGCACACTGACACGTGCATACATTCCCGTGCATCCACACAGGTACCCCACACATGCGCTCACACATGCATGCACACACGCCGGTGCCTTCACATTTTGGTTTTTGATTACTGTTCGCATAACTCTGACACCCGCAAGAGTGTCTGGTGCACACAAGATCCCATAAGATTTTGTTTAACCAACAAGCAAGCAAACAGACCATTGCGTCGAATCCCCATTTGCTTGGAACTTGAAAAATAGCCAATAAAATAATATATGTAAATTGCTTTCTCTCTTACCAAGAAGAAATAAATACAGAGGATTGAGGTTTGAAGATTCTAGATTCTTCCCTGGCGGAGTGAAGGCATGGGATTTGATAAAAGACCTCTCTTGGATTGTGTGCTGGTAGCAAGCGTCTGTTTGCATTTGGTTTGTTCATGTTGTTTTACCACCACAACGGAACATACCTGCTTATGGACGCATACAAACGCCCGAGTCTGCCAGGTTGCGGGAGGAGTTGCGGCAGCAAATGCCCTGTGAGGCAGCTAATGTGTAGAATACAAGCTTGATCCGGCCATGTTCCCACAATGGACACAGCTGGTGACCTCAAAGCACAGGTCTTGTGAGCAGACCAACCCGGCCCCTCCCCGTCTGGCCATGGGCACGCAGGGCCCTGGCAGGGTCTGGGCGTCCTCGAGCCTGCTCCGAGCCCCACGCAGTGCCCCTGACACTGGGCAGGAACCCCACAGACAGGCCTTGCCGTCAGAAGACACACGTCTGGGCTAAACTCAATTAAAGAACAGTTCCCTTGTCCCTGGCAGTTTTGCCAGTTGTAAGTCAGCAAGAAATGAACAGACTGTGCCTTTAAATACCTCCCAGCTTTTCAGTCACAGAAGAAAAAAAAAAAAGGAAAAAACCACAGGTACACACTAAGAAAAGTGGGCCAAGTTCTAAATCCGGCTGCCTGGGGAGACATGGAGCAGGACGGAGTCGGGAAGCTGACCTTGGAAAGGCAGCCGGCCCTCGCTCCACCCAGCAGCCTTCCACGGGAAAGCTCCCGGCCGGGGCTCACCGCTGGGATCCTTGTCCCTTCTGGTCCCAGTGAAATGACAAAGCTATGGCTTCCTAGGATCGAGAGACAAAGGCATGGCAGTGAGCTCCCTGCAGACCCCAGACTTGTGGAGAGAGGCTGGAGGCTCGAGCGGTGGCCGAGCTCTGAGGTGGAGCTGAGCCCTCTCCAGGGCCGTCAGGGAGCTTCCCACGGGCGCTGAGCGTGGCTGCTCCGGCCTCAGGTGTCTGCGAGGCTCAAGAGGAGAAGGCAGGAGACAGCTCCGCCAGCAAGCTCAGTTAGGAGCCCTCGCCTCAGGACAGGGGGTTCTGGAGCTCTCCTGAGAGTTCTGAGCTCCGCAGCCACCATGACCCCCCGTTTATGCAGGGGAGAACAAGCAGATGGGGGTGTTGAACCGTGACCATCCCACCTCTGAGCACCTCTGCATCCATCTTATCTGTACTGGGGAAGAAAGTCAACACACAGGGGTCACCTGTGGCTCACGCCTGTCATCCTAGCCACTCGTGTGGCTGAGATCTGAGGGTTGCAGTTCAAAGCCAGTCTGGGTGGGAAAGTTTGTGGGATTCTTCAACTAACCACACACACACACACACACACACACACACACAAACACACACACATGATAGCTGGAAGCGTGTGTGTGCATGTGTGTAATGAGGATGGTTCTTCTGTCACACCAAGGCTCAGATGCAGGTAGTGGAAATGAAAAGGAACTGGGGTGTCGGGCAGGCTGGGGTCTCAGATCCCCTGATGGGCTGGGCTGGCACTGAAGGGTGTCTGTACCTGGTGTCCAGCGCTGACAAGGCCGCCAGGACCCAGCGTGGAGGCTCGGCCAGGGCCAGGTTTCCAGGAAGATTTGGCCAGGCCAGTGGAACTCGATCTCAGCCCTGGGCTCCCCCGCCTGCTCCTGGGCTGCCATTCAGCGGGCAGAGGACGGCGGGCAAAGGACGGGCCTTGCGGCACCACAGGGTTTGACAATGCCACCTCTAAGCGGTGCCTGGCTGGGCCTGAGCGGCCGCTGCCTCAGTTTCTCTGTTTCTCATGCCCTCTCTGCCCGGACTGCTCCCCGCCCCGCCCCATCTTCCTGTGCCCTCTCTTCTCTTTCTCCTTTGGATGAGTGGGGTGTCCAGATGGCAGCACACGTACACGCCCCTGCGCGTGGCCTCTCCGCCCTCAGACACGCTGCCCAGAGCATCCACAGTCACGTCGGACTTGTTCTTTAAATTCATGGCACCGTTTATTTTTAGCCTGAAACAACTGCATCCTAAAAATGGAGCTCTTAATGAGCCAGGGGCTGGGCCGGGCAAGTGATCCAGCCCCTGGCCCCCCAGCCTCCCCCCCCACCCCCGCCCAGGCCTCCCTCAGTGCGCATGTGCCCAGATCCTCCACTCCATTTCCAGTCCCCAGCCCAGGACCACACGGACCTCCAGCCCAGGGAACCTCCCTGCTCCCGCTTGCCGAGTTGGGGGAAGAAAGAGAAAACTCTCCCCAGATGGAGCGAATTCACCTCCTGGTGGTGGGGGTCTGTCTGCTGAGCTGCTGCAGGGCGGAAGAAGGGCTGAACTTCCCCACGTACGATGGGAAAGACCGTGTGCTGAGCCTCTCAGAGAAGAACTTCAAGCAGATGTTGAAGAAATACGATGTGCTCTGCCTCTATTACCACGAGCCCGTGTCTTCAGATAAGGTGGTACAGAAACAGTTCCAGATGAAGGAGATTGTCCTGGAGGTGAGTGGGGGGGAGGGGGGGGAGGTAGCTTCCTGCCTCGGTGGGCCCAGGGGTCAGGATGCCTTTGGCCAGGGCTTGGGGTGTGGAAATGAGGGTGCAGAGCACACATGTATCCTGAGGTCTGCTGCCTTTGGCGATGATCGTGCGTTAATGCCAGGATGTGTGAGTGAAGCCCACAAAAGGGAAACTGAGGCTGACAGTCCCAGGTCAGGTGCACAGCGGCGTCCCAGTTGGAATGTCCCTCTGGCTCCATGGCTTTTCCTGAGAGAGTGTAGAGTGCCGGAGGATGGGATGTTTAGGGGTCACCGGCCGTGCCGGCCCCCTCACCCCCACTCTTGGGGACGAGGGTTGTTTGACCTTGCCTCTCCGCAGCGGTTTTCCTCTGGCTTTTCGCTACAAGGCGTAGAGCTTGGCATTCTCAGCTGCACACGCGTGAGTGGGAATTTTTTTCCTCTCAGGAAGTTCTTGGTGTGGGCACAGGGACAGGCTGACGTCACTTCTTATTTTATCTACATGATGCGGCCTCTCGGCCACCTGGCACCAGGGCTGCTTCTAAACCCCTGTGAGTGGCTCAGAAACAATCTCTGTAGTATCTCATGGCAGCTGAGGGCCACCCACAGCCCCAGGGCACCATGCCAGAGCCCTCCCAGGCCCCCTGAGCCTCCTGCGGGCCCCACCCCGGCCCAGCCCTCGCGCCTGTCTGCAGAGACCCCCTTGGGATCCGCACCACTCACTGGCCAGCGCAGCCAGACAATTTGGGTTCATCAAATAGTTCGATCACTGAACTTCCCCCCGGGAAACTCAGGATGAGCCGAGATCCCCAAGAGATGGACTATAATACAATCCCACAAAGCCGTCCAGGATTCACCCAAATAACTTCACCAAAACGTAAGAAGCATCCCAGAATCCCGAATGAGTTCTGGGGTTCACTGCGCTCCCTCTCGTCTGTGAGGGCCGAGTGTGGGGTTTGGGCCTCTCTGTGGACACTCAGGGCAGGGGGCAGGGAATGAGGCGAGGACGCGGGACCTTTGGGTGCAGAGAGGACACGGAGGGGAGCAGAGTTTACTCAGCTTGAGAACCGGCGCCCACATAGCTGCCCGCACACCTGCTCCGAAGCGCACTAGCAGAGGACAGATCAGAGCGCGCTCATGGCCAGCTGACGGCTTGCTGTTGTCTCAGACTGAGCCCACAAGAGGCCCCAACCCAGCTGCACACCTTCCCTCTAGGCAGTGATGGCAGCAGAGAGCAGGAAATTCAGCCTGGAGCTGATCTGCTAACTCTAGACTTCTATGACCAGGACAGGGAATGCAGAATTTGCTGCTCTGGATTTTCTCTCCTCCTCCTCCTCCTCCTCCTCCTCCTCTTCCTTCTTTTCCTCTCTTCTCCTCCTCCTCCTCCTTCTTCTTCTTCTCTCATCTTTTCCTTCCATCCACCTTCTCCCTGCGTCTTTCCTTTTCTCCTTCCTTCCTTCTTGCCCTCCTTCCCTCCTTCCTCTCTTTCTGTCTCTGTCTTCTCTCTCTTCTTTCCTGTGCCATACTGCCCCCCCACCCCCTCAGGCCATGGCCTGTACCTGGGCGGTAAGAGGCTCTGACCCAGGTTCACGTGGCCACACGTGGGTCGTGGGTCCGGTCACAAGGGCTGGGCCCTTTGTCTGGGTTACAGGCTCAGCCCTGCCTCCCCCAGCGCCTCCCCCGAGGCCTCACAGATGGAGGAAGGCTCAGAGAGTGGAAGCGCCAGGCTGCCGGTGGCCCAGCAGTGCCTGCAAAGGAGGCGGGCCTGTGGTCACGGACATTGACATCAGGAGTCTCCCAGAGGGGCTCGTCCCTGAGCCCCGGGTCCCTTGTTAAAACTAGTCCCTCTGCTCCCACCACAGCTCCATCCATCTCCCTCCATGGAAAGGTGCTTACCCCCAACCTTTTTTTTTTCCGGTCCTGGTGTTTGAACTCAGGGCCTGAATTCCTTTTGCTCAGAACTAGTGTTCTACCACCTGAGCCACAGCACCACTTCTAGCTTTTTCTGTGATTCCATTGGAAATGAGTCTCACAGACTCTCCTGCCCTGGTTAGCCTCAAACTGTGATCCTCAGAGCTCAGCCTTGTGAGTAGCTAGGCACGAGCCACCAGCACCTGGTGGAAAGGTGCTCTTACCATCAGAAAGCCCGAAGTGGAGGCGTGGTTCAAGAGCTCACGTAGTAAAACACCAGGCTTGAGGGAGCAAAAGGTCCTGCGTTCAAGCTCTAGTACTAGCACACACAGTCACACACAGGTACATGCACACACACACACACACAGTCACACACAGGCACACGTACACACACACACGTTGTGTGGACACTCACTCGCTTCCCCTGTGCTCCCTTTACTAGGAGCCTGTGCACACAGCGTAGGAGAATGACAGGAACCCCTGCCTGCAGTGTAAGACCAGCCTGTGCCACCCAGGGAGGGGGGCACGGCATGCCCCTGGGCACCCAAGGCTCAGTCTGCTACCTTAAAATATAAACCACAACATAAAAGCCGGGCGCTGGGACTCACACCTGTAATTCTAACTACAGGAGGCTGAGATTCAGGGATTGTGGTTCAAAGCCAGTCCAGGCAGGAAAGTCCATGGCAAGACCCTTAAGTCCAATTAACCAACAAAAAGCTGCAAGTGGAGCTGTGGTTCAAGTGGTAGAGTGCCAGTCTTGAGTGAAAAAGCTCAGGGACAGCGCACAGGCCCTGAGTTCAAGTCCTAGTACCAGCACTAAGGAAAAAGCACACAGACAACCAAATCTCTGTGGTCTCCCTGCTCCAGCCTCCTCTCATGGGTACAAGGTGTGCGGTTTGCTAGCCCCAAGGCCCTCAGCGTGGGCCTGACCGGAGGGCGTGGCCGGAGGGCGTGGCCGGAGGGCACAGGCAGTGGCCAGGTAGGAGAAGCGTCAGCTCCTCCGGTTCACGGAGGACTGGAACCTGTGGCAAAGCCAGCTGGCAGCAGGGAGTGTCATAACCACAGCTGCTCAGCCTGTGGGGTACCCGGGGGGTGGGGGGGGACGGGCTGGCAGCCAACGCCAGGCTGCAGGACCATTCGCTCGGAGCAGAGATCGGGTGACATTCAGGTGCCTCAATTCCAGACTCTTCTTTATTTTCCGACTCTTGGACCTACAGCAAGAATCGCTCCTCACTCCTTCACGAGGCCCAGTCCTCACACCCCACGAGTGGAACAAATCCCACCTCCTCGCCTTCCTTCCTCCTCCACCTCCTGGGAATGGGCGCCACCGGAAGCTCCTCCCGTCTTCCCCGTAGGGGCGGATGGCAGAAGTGGTGAGATCTGGGGGTCGTGCAGTTCTGTCCGGCCCAGAGCACCAGCCACGGTCGCTCTGCGCTCACCCTTCCTGTCCCCGTGAGGCTCAGCGGGCCGTCCGCACCTGCTGTAGCCTGTCCTCACCACCCACTCGACGGTCGGTGCCCGGCACCCTGGCTTCTGTCCCAGCTTTCCATTCAAGGTCATCCGTGACTTACCAGTCCCAGGAGCAGAGGCCTGACCGGGGCCCTGGCTTGTGCCAGGCCCCAGGGACACGTGACACAGACAACCACTGGTTCCCAGGAGGCTGCGGCTGACCCACCCCTGCCCACGGCCTCTTCCCTGCCCCCTTCTCTCACCTCCGCTCTGCGTGCCAGCGTCCTTTCCCAGAGTCACGGTCCCGGAAGCCGACATGTGTCTTGCTCTGTCCATCTTAATGAACGGTTAGCGTTCTCCTCCCATTCCCACACTGTAGACTTTTTGTTTGGTGTTAGAAGTAGGTGTTTTAGCCTTTTCACTCAAGACTGGTGCTCTACCACTTGAGCCACAGTTCCATTTCTGGATTTTTTTGTGATAAGAGGCCCACAGGCTTTCTTGCCCAAGCTGGCTTTGAACCATGATCCTCAGATCTCAGACTCCCGAGTAGCTAGGATGACAGGCGTGAGCCAGCGCCCTGCCCAGTCCTGCGTTGTATAAGTCACGTGTACTCATGACATAGGAAGAGGTCCACATGTGATTGGGATGGTGCACAGGGCGGAGCGGAACTACACAGGCCTGGGCTGGGAGAGGCCCCACTCACGCTCCTTTTAGTTCTCCATTCAAGTCTTTCTTGTGTCTAATTGTTACCATTGCTAGTGTTTTCCTTCTATACTAACAGCAGAGAGGTGTTTTTTATTTTAAAAGGCATTGAGGAATCACCCAGAACCAGAGGAAGCGTGAGACCTTGTACTTCAATACACGAAGAAATGAAATGCAATGCAAACTCCTTACAAGTAATAAATGGATCTAGCAAGACACATGTGAGCAAGATAATGGCATTTTGGTACACTAGCAATATGACACCAAAGATAAAAATATCATACCACTTACAATCCCCAAGATAACTTAAATCAGATTTAAATCAGGGGAGATTGGATGTGCTCAGGGTGGCATGGATGTAGACAAACATTTGCATAGAAAAATAACAAGAAGACTTACAACGTTGAAAATTACACCATGCAAATGAAAGAAACCAGAGACAATCTAAGAAATGGAGATGCATACAATCTTCATGATTCAGAGATGCAATATAGGAAATACATCATATACTGGCACAAAAAGATGACATTCTCCCCAAGCTGGCAGATTGAATGTACAGATTTAATACAATCCCTCCCCAAATCCTAGTAAAATGCTTTGTGGACATAACAAAGGTTATCCTCAAACGTATGTGGAAAAGTTAAAGAACTTCAAAAAAGAAAGAATAAAGCCAGGAGAGGAACTCACCTGTTTCCAAGACTTACTACAAATCCTAAGGGTATGTGGGGAAAAAGCAACGACAGGACTGCAGAATATGAAACAGGACTGGAAGGGGATGAAGCTAAGTTCCTAACACTGAGAAGAGAAGAACAAACAAGGGTCCCACAGACTGCTGTGTGGGCAGAGTGTCAGGGTGGGGGGATGGGGACTGAGGAGAGAAGTCAGGAGGCGGCCCCGCATGCTCACAAGTGTGTTCCTATCACAGTGCAAACACAGGTGTGGGGCAGACCCATCCCTGCTGGCACACAAAGGTAAAAGAACCCCAACCTGTCTCACTCCTTACACCAAAGGTATCAAACGAGGCCAGACACCAGGTGCTGGGGGCTCACGCCCATCATCCTAACTACACAGGAGGCTGAGATCTGAGGATCGCGGTTCAAAGACAGCAGGAAGGTCTTGGGAGACTCTTAACTCCAGTGAACCCACAGAAAGCAGGGAGTGGAGCCACTGGCGCCTGCTGTTGCTCCGTTGTATAAGCGCTTACGACTGGGAAAACTGGATAAATACAGATGGGACCTCCGCGTTATTTCTTACAATTGCATGGCAACAAGTGGTTTTAAGGTTAACCTTTAAAAAGCAGGAGTAGAGCTGTGGAGAGGGGCAGCTCAGTGAGTAGAGCAATTGCCTGAACATGAAGACATCTTGTGATCTGCAAATAACAACAACAACAATGTCTCTTTTAGATTCTCCCCTCTCCTAATTCATTCTGGAGACTTCTCCACACTTCCTATTCTCTGCCCTTTGGGATGGATGATAGGAGTTGGCCCATAGCCAGTAGGGTCTCCTTTGGTCCTGGGGCTCAGGTTCTCTATTCCAGGCCCTCTTGGGTTCCTACGTGGGATGGTTTGGCAGCTTGGGGGCACGGACGACGGCTGTCTGGGATCTGCGGGTGTTCCGCTCTGCTGCCTTGTGGATTCTCTCCCTCATCAAGCTCTCTCTGCCTGGGGGCAGAGCCCAGTGCCCACAGTGCGCACACGCATTCCTCTCCGGCCCATTGCCAGCATGTGTGGTCCCTTTTCTAAGTGGCCAGCACAGGTTACTGCAGCCATGGGTGCGCTGGTCCCCGAGGTGTGAGGGAGGAAGGCCTCCTCCCGCGCCCCCAGCCCTGCCCTCAGCCCCCCCCCCCCGCTCCTCTCTGTCCTTTCAGCTCGTGGCCCAGATCCTGGAACATAAAGACATCGGCTTCATGATGATTGATGCCAAAAAGGAAGCCAAGCTTGCCAAGAAATTGGGTAAGTGTGATCGGAGAGATAGAATAGGAAGAAACAACTTGTGTCTTGTAAACAAAACAACACAACGAAATTGTATTCTTGCTTGATAACTGGACTCATCTTAATAGAAAATAGCCTTAGTCCCAGGTTGAAGAATAATTTCATAAAAGCAACAGGCTCTGGTGTCTCACGCCTGTGAGCCTGGCTGAGTTGTGAGGGTCACAGTTCACAGCCAGTCCTGGCTATGAGACGATCTCCAATTAATCAGAAAGAAGCCATAAGGGGAGATCTTGCTCACGCAGTAGAGAGCCAATCCTGAGTAGGAAAAAGTCAAGTAAGAAAGGAAAAATGCAGACCTCTGAGTTCAAGACTCTCCCTCCCCCCTTCACTTTCCCCCTCCCTCCCTCTCTCTCTGTTTCTGTGTGTCTGTCTTGTCTATCTGTCTGTGTGTCTGTGTGTCTGTCTGTCTCTCTCTCTCTCTCTATCTCACACACACACACACACACACACACACACACACACTGTACTGTTAGAAAACTAAAGTAGGGTGGGAAATTAGATTTTTCTTTTATGTTAAAACACAAGTGGACTTGTTAATTCTTGGCTATTTCAAATGGAGTGCATACTTTGAGAGGGGTGTGTGTGTGTGTGTGTGTGTGTACTGGGGCTTGAACTTAAGGCCTCGGGGCCCTTGCTTGACTTTTTGCTCAAGGCTGGCACTCTGCCACTTGAGCCACAGCTCCACTTCAGCTCTTTGGTGGTTAGTTGGAGACAAGAGTCTCACAGACTTTCCTGCCCAGGTGACCTTTGAACTGTGACCCTCAGATCAGGCCCCTGAGCTGCTGGGATTGGGATAGCTGTGTGGAGGTGGTGTTTGGAGAGGTCTGGGTCTTTGGTTGTGCTGACCCCATCACTGTTACGACCAAGTGAGGGCTTCCCTGGTATCAGTATGGCCTCAACGTTGACCTCGAGCCTCTCACTGCTTCCAGGCTTTGATGAAGAAGGGAGCTTGTACATTCTTAAGGGCGATCACACAATTGAGTTTGATGGTGAGTTCGCCGCAGACGTGTTAGTGGAGTTTCTCTTGGATGTGAGTATCTGTGCGGTGTACCAGTGCAAGCCGTCTGGGCTGGGAGACGGGGAAGGAAGGGCGGGAAAGCAGGGTACCCTGACAGGGGCCAAAACAGGGCCTTGGCCTTCACGGAGAACAAACAGCATCCACATTGCAGGGCTGACTCCCTGTCACCATGGAAACAGGGCACTGGGGTCACAGGTCTGGATTGTGTCACAGCAAGATGTGAATTCTCTCACTCAGTGCAGCAGTCTGCTACACTGGCAGAAGGAGGGGAAGGGAGGAGATGGCGCGAGAGATGCCTCCCCAGGCAGGCAGAGGGGCTCCTCTGCGAGGTTCGCTGCAATAGTGCAGCCACATCCAGAAAATATGAACACAAATCGCCAAGATGGTAAATGTTGAAGGTCTTCATCACCCCAGAAGAAAGGTCACCTCTGAGGGGATGGATATACTAATTAGCTCAATTTAATAAGCCCACGTTGTATTCAGAACCCATGCTATCACTTTACATCCTGTCAATGTATTTAGTTGCGATCAGTCCAGGTATAATCGACACTCGGAGGAATTAGGTTGACCCCACCCCTCCCGTTAAGTTGTCCACCAGAAGTATCCTCTGGTGAGTGGCTGGGCTGGGGTGGGACAGGTTCAAACATCTAGACTATGGTGCCCACTTTGTGTTCTCCTGGGGAGGTGTGGGGGTGCCGTGGTGTGGGGTGCGGAGTGCAGGGGTATGGAGTAGGGGGTGCAGGTATGTGGGGGTGGGGTGGGTTTGTGGGGGTGTGGGAGTGTGGGGTGCAGGGTATGAGGGGTGGGGGTGCAGGGATGGTGGGTGTGGGGTGCGGGTTGAAGGTTTGTGGGGGTGTGGGGGTGTAGGGGAAGTGAGAGTTGCTCACCTGGACACACCTGTGCTCACTCGAGTGTGGCTGCTTTTCAGCTCATTGAAGACCCGGTGGAAGTCATCAACAACAAACTGGAAGTCCAGGCCTTTGAACGCGTGGAGGACCAGATCAAACTCCTGGGCTTCTTCAAGAGCGAGGACTCTGAGTGTAAGCCATCCAAGCCCCCCCCCAGCCCACCGTCCCGTCAGTGTCAGGGCTGTGCTTTGACAGGGGGTGTCAGGCCACCTCTGTGGGCGCGGGTCTGCTGGGAAACGGAGATGAGTATCCTGTCCTGCTCCTGGAGGTGGGGGATGAAATTGTGTCAGCTGGCTTCTATGGTGCGGTGTGTGCATATGTATGTGTGCATATGTGTGCATGTGTTTGCGTGTGCATATGTATGTGTGCATATGTGTGCATGTGTTTGCGTGTGCATATGTATGTGTGCATATGTGTGCATGTGTTTGCGTGTGCATATGTGTGAACTAATGCACATATGGGAGAAACAGGCCTTCCTTCTTCCCCCACCTGCTGTCTCACAGCGCACCTTCCTGAGCAGGTCTCACACAGCCATTGCAAGGCTTACGGAAGGGCTCCACTGCGGCGGGTTGTGGGAACGGCTGGGCGAGCCCCCGGCTGACCAGCAGGCGGCTGCCCTCCTGCACCATGCCCCAGGGGACCTTCCCCCTTTGGTGGCCGGCCCTGTTCTTGGCCTGGAACACTGCAGGGGCCCGGTCACACTGCCTCCTCTTCATCAAATTGCCCCTTTTGTGCGCTGATTGTTGGGGCTGCATTCGCTCTCCTTCCTCTATGTGGGGCCAAGATGCCTTCTCTTGGGCAATCAAATACCAGTTCATTCCAACCCTTCTGGGAAATTATGGGTTGAAATAGTACTAAAGAATGAGCAGCCAGGGGTTAGAGGCGTGGCTCAAGCGGTAGAGCACCAGACAATGAATAAAAGTGTCAGATAGTTAGTTCAAGTTCTGGTCTTGGACAAAACAAAACAAAAAAAAAGCAGCCAAGCACTGAGTTTTACACCTGAAATCCTTGTTACTCAGGAGGCTGAGGTCTAGAGGGTGAAGGTTTGAAGCCAGCCCTGGGAAAAAGAAGAAAACATTTGTGAGACTCCATCTCCAACTAACTAGCAAAAAGCCGGTCTGGAGACATGGCTCAAGTAGTAGAGTACCAGACAAGCAAGCAAGCTGAGTGAGTGTGAGGCCTGAATTCAAACACCTCAGAACCAGCAAACGAACAGAGCTAGCTGAATAATACCTGCTAAATAATCGTGCAGTCATTTTACAAGAGAAGCCTGCAGCATTCCTGAACGTGATTCTTCCATTGTTTGTTTTGCCTCCCAGATTACAAGGCATTCCAGGAGGCGGCTGAACACTTCCAGCCTTACATCAAGTTTTTTGCCACTTTTGACAAAGGGGTAAGTACCTAGGGAAGGCTGGGCGGCAGCAGGCTCAGCAGAGTCCAGCAGGAGGTCCTAGAGCTGGGGTGGGAGGAGGGGATCAATTCGTACAACACCCCCAGGGAATGTCAGAGGTCCCAGGCTAGGACAGCATTGCCCAAACACCGGCCCAGGTGCCAGGGCAGGATGTGGCCTCTGACTAAGGGAAAGTGGAAACGGCGCGTGTGGAAAGAAGACACCACTGAGGAACGGAAGATGCAACTCTGCTGGCACCATGCTGAGCAAATGTCATGCCGTCATTCATCAGTCATTCAGTCACCCACCCCCTTCGCAGCCGTGCATGCCGAGCACCTTCACTGCGCCGGGGCCTCACTGACCAAAAACCAGTGCTCACCCTCGTAGTATTTCGAGCTAAATGTGGGGAGGAAAGGCGTCAGCAAACCCACAGCCACGCCACGGGCGGAGAATTGTGAAGAGAGGGAGGCCGGACACTGCTGCGGGCTCACACCTGGAGTCCTGGCCACCCAGGAGGCTGAGCTCTGTGTGTCACAGCTCAAAGACAGCTCGGGCCCCAAAGCCTGGGAGGTTCTTTTTTTTTTTTTTTTTTGGTCCAGTCGTGGGGTCTGAACGCTGGGCCTGGGCGCTGTCCCTCAGCTCTTCAGCTCAAGGCTAGCGTTCTACCACTTGAGCCACAGCTCCACTTCAGCTCTTTGGT